GGGGGGGGGGGGGCGGGAGGGGGGAGGTAAATGTCCTTTGTTCCGTGTGAGTTATCTCCAGCCAATTATCATTAGTGAGCAAAAGTGGATTAAAAAAAATCTCAAAGTAATTCAGAATTGTGCTTCTGATGGGGTATCTGTCCTGGACAGAAAGGATTCACAGATGAACTAGGTCCACAGCAAGTGTGCTATAAATAGTGGGTAAGCACACACCAATTGTGCACAAAATCCCCTATATCTGCACTGAGTGATTTTAACAATCTCACATAGGTGTGATACCCCAACTAAGGTAGTAATTTTGCATCATATGTGCCTATTCTATTGAGAAAAGATGTAATCAGTAGCCCAAACATGTTTCTAGGGTTGGTTTATTATTTTATACTATTTTTGGTACAGTTTAGTCAGAAGGCAAATTTAACGATTAGATGCCCAGGTACCTGCTTTGAAGCAGGTTTGCAAGTGCAAGTTGTAAACATACAGGCAGTGTTTGAAAAAATGTGCCTGAAATTCATGTCTGTTTTATTATGTGCCCTGGAAATTATGTAGTGAAACAACATAAAACAAACTCACTAATTCCGCACGTTGATTAAAAAAAGAAGAGTACTGTTTCAGGAACTGTGTTTGTACATAGAGCAGACAATGAGCAACATGCTTAAAGCTAAGGTCCAGCTCTTCAAAGCAGTTTAGACACCTAATGCCCACTGATTTCAACAGGAGTTAGATGCCTCATTGCCCTTGAAGATTTGGCCCAAAGCCTCCTCCATACCGTTTTTACAGCCTTGATGAAGTTTAGGCTTTCTTCTCCCACCTCCTGTTGCAGGAGTCCAAACCTCTTCCCATACAACACCAAGCAGGTACCTGCCATTTAAAATATATACACATTGTTTCACAATAGCATCTAGATGAGTAGCCACCACTTACTCAATTACCCTTCTGCAAAAGAGTCTTAGTTCTAATATATATTCTTATTATGTACCAACAAAAGCCTGTCACATGGAGGTATGAAAGAAATACTTCAAGGTCATTTAAGATTCCCCCCATACCAACTGACTCAGACATAATGGGGCTCCAATACTGAGCTAGGAAATCTAGTCATGGCACTCACAGGAATTAGAGTTCTTTCCAGTGCTACTGATCCCTTCCTTTGAGTGGCATCTCTTACATTACGTCTACATAGCATCATTATTTCGGAACAACTTTAGTTATTCCGAAATAACAAAGAGCGCATCTATACTGCAACCCTTTATTTCAAAATAATGTTGAGCTGGAGGACTTCTTACTCCGACTCATGGTAACCCTCATTTTACAAGGAGTAAGGGAAGTCGAAGGAAGAGTGTTTTTCCTTCGATGTCCTGCTGTGTACACAGCACCAAAAGACAAATTAAACTATTTCAACGTCAGCTACACAATTGACGTAGCTGAAGTTGTGTAGTTTATTCCAACTTTACCTGCTGTGTAGACGTACCCTTACCATCATAGGCATCTTATTTGCCAAATGAGCTAATGGATTCCCTAATGCAAATATAAGGAAATTTTGAATGTCTCATCAAAGACATCATTCTGAGCTTTTAATCAGAGCTTTATTATCAAAATCTATTGTTGACATTGTTTATTAGCAAATGTAAGAGAATCAGAAATTAGAGATGAGGCAGCCTTTTAGCCATATTTAACACTAGCACAGGATTATTGCCTATAGTCCAGGGGAAGACAATAAGCAGCCTGTGGGCCTGATGAGGTTTGCCAGGGATAGCCCTTGGCAGGCTGCTGCCAGTTTACTTACCTATGCATCCACAGATACATCCGCTTGCAGTTCCCATTCACTATGCATCACCATTCTTGGTCAGTGGGAGCTGCAGGAAACGGTGCGGACTGGGACACCACTTTCTGCAGCTTGCATTGGCCAAGAACAGCAATTTATGGCAGCTGTCCCATGACTGCTGTGGGAGCTGTAAGCAGCCATACCTGCAGACACAAAGGTAAATAAACCACCAGCAGTCTGACCGGGGTTAATCCTGGTGAACTGCGTCTGGCCCATGGACTACTCATTGTCCAACATGGTACTGTTGACAATGTTTAGCCCAAATGTAAATGTTATATCAATATCTAATTTTCAATTATAAAGAAGAAAACTTACTTTCAAATGACCATTTGTTGAACTCTGAATATATGTCTTCAATTTCACCATTGTGGTTGCAAAGCTCATCTATTCTATGCATGAAATCCATCAGGACCTAAATGATGGGAAAACAAGATTTGGAACCAAGATTAGTTTCACTTGATCCTAAGCTTATCTAGGATGTTCTTATGTTCAACAGGGAGAATCTCAAAGCAGTGGATAAACATTTTAAAATATTTTTCTATTACAATTGTAAATTCTGGTGGACTTGCATCACAATAGATCACTAAAGCAACAAATAACTAAAGCAACAAATTTAGGGGAAGACTACTGCAAAGCAACAGTGATTTTCTATGCTTCTTATGGTGTCTAGACGTTGACCATGGCTTAGCCACCAGCTTCTCAGTTTGTTTTGCTTCGGAATCAGCCTCTTGTGTTGCTTTGTGTACAGTTTTATTCTGAGTGATATAAGAAAGTGTACTACCTCATGTTGTAATAGTTGCATATAAAATGATTAAATTGGACAGGAAAAAAAGAATTCACACAACCTTTAGTGTGAAGTACCTCATTGACAGTGGTATCCAGTTTCACGATTTCTGTGGGCTTCATTAACTTCTTTTGAAAGGCACTTCTTATTCTCTGCCAGTCCTGTCCTTCTCTAGATAAGAGGAAAAAGGAGCAAAGTTAAAAACGAAGCAAGACAAATACATTATGCAACAAAACATGCTGCTACCTTAGCTTAATCAGACCATTGCCAAATGTGAGCATATATTCTAGCAGCCTTAAGGTATCATTACATCTTAAGCACACTTTAAAAGTAGGAAAAAATAAAACGAATCAATTTCCAATAAGAAATAGATCAAATGTGTAATAAGAAATTGTCTCTGATTAACGATCATGTCATAAGTTCAGAAGAAAAGAACTTCCAGGGGATACGGTTGCAAAGATAAGCTAAGGCACAGCCGGGCTGCACGGAGACGAAATCTGACCTGTGTAACGACAGTGGGAGGTTTATAGCATCACTACGGTGTAAGCAGATTGGAAACGGCTTTTTGCTGGGGGAGGCACGTGCCTTGAGCAAGGCAGAGCCCTTGAAAACAAGATCTGTTTTCCTCCTCGCTCTGTGTACACAGCCTGCCCGAGCAGCGTTATCGGCGTGCGGCTACTGCTCCCATTCTCCCTCTTGGCATCTTTGATTTCCCCGAGTCCCACCCGGTATCTGCCTTCATCTTCACAGTGAAGCGGGGCTCACACTGTGCCGCAGGCTTAAACGGTGCCTGGTGTCACTGGGCGGTGTGGCTTGTCCCCCCACGCTGGGATCCCCGGCTCCACTTACAGGATCAGGAGTCCGTAGCCCTCGCCTCTGTAGTCTCGGTAGGCTTTCCAGGGCTTGATCTCCAGCCTCTGGGGGTGAGCGCTCTCCTTCCTGTACAGCGCTTCCAGCAGGCACGGGGAGCCGATGTGGACGCAGTCAAAGGAGCCCAGCTTCATGCGGAAAATCTTCCCAAACTGCCGGTGGTAGCCAGCCTAGGGCGGGGAGACCCAGCAGCGGGAGAGACCCAGGAGAGCAGAGGCTAGGCTTTCCAGGGCTTGATCTCCAGCCTCTGGGGGTGAGCGCTCTCCTTCCTGTACAGCGCTTCCAGCAGGCACGGGGAGCCGATGTGGACGCAGTCAAAGGAGCCCAGCTTCATGCGGAAAATCTTCCCAAACTGCCGGTGGTAGCCAGCCTAGGGCGGGGAGACCCAGCAGCGGGAGAGACCCAGGAGAGCAGAGGCAGGAACCTCGCTGCGATGCTCTCCCCTCCCCCCGCGGGGCCCAGGCCAGGTCCAGCTGG